GAGATCGTTGAGAATACCATTGAAGTACGTTTCATTGCATCGTTTTTTTTTTCTTTCAAATCACGTTCATAGCCGTATTTGCTGAAAATCTAAGTCAAATTTTTTTTGAGTTTGTTTTCCGGAAGTTGTTCGTTTTGTTCCGATGGAATTTTCTAACTGTTCAGGCATTTCGCGAGATGGACATGGTTGATATCTTGGTGGCACCGTATGAATCGGACGCGCAGTTAGCATTCTTAACTCAAACTGGAATTGCTCATGCGGTAGTGACCGAGGATTCTGATTTGATAGCATTCGGTTGTGAGAAGGTAGGTATTATCAAATGCAATTATGAACTCATCCAGTCAATATGTTTAGTTCAAATGGATAGTTATGTTGTTAATCTCAACCATGCGTTAGCCAATGTTTGAACTTATTTAATAACTGATTAGTAATGTTTTTCAAATTCCCATTAATTGATTTATTATTTAGTTGAGGAAAAGATTTCCTTATGCGTGAGGAGGAAGGGGGTCGGAAAAATTATTTTTGGAGCTGAATCGATTTATTTCAGATAATACTCAAAATGCAAGCAGATGGTTCATGTACAATATATGAAAGAAGTGAGTTACCGAAATGTTTCTCTCGACCACTCTGTGATGATTTTGACTTCACAAAATTCCGACGTATTTGCATTCTCGCTGGTTGTGATTATCTTAAGGTACAAACTATGCTTAATAATATGTCGTGTATTCTTTTGTATGATATTTTGAAATGTCTTCATTTGAGACTGACAATATCGTTACTTTAATCTTGTTTTCCATGTCCAATTAGCCGTCGTACATAATGAGTTCTTTAGTTTTACATACATATAAGTAGTTTTGCAGTTGGCGAACATCAATAATGTGCAAATTTGCGCAGTAATCATTTTTTTAAATATTCACTTCTGAAATGAGTTGATGATCACTTTCGTTTTTTAAAGAACGGTTTACCGGGAGTTGGTCTCAACAAAGCTGCAACATTCATGTCGAAAACCTCCGGAACTAATTTGGAACAGGTTTGATTTATGTTGTGACATTTGCGATCGCATTTCTTGCATATCAGCTATTAGAAGAAGAAAATTAAATAGGTAATTGTATTTCATCAAACTAGAACATAAACTTGAAGTATGAAAATGAAATGTTATCATATCTTCGAAGCAATGAAATATCATAGAATTAGTAAATAAGTAAATGTTCGATTGTACAATAGAGTTTCAATAGAGTTTGAAACGCGAGGGCACTTCCTGGCCAGGGAATTCTGCTTTCTGACCGTTCATTGCAACAATTCACTCGGGAGGAATCCTTTCCGTCCCTAGCCCGATTGTATAAAATGACGTTTCTGTGGCATATAAAATTTTATTTTATATTCAGATTTTACCTCGATTACCGCGTTATTTGAATATGAAAAATTTGAAAATCAAAAAAGAATTTATCGCGGATGCGATACGGGCCGAGAACACATTTTTACATCAGATTGTCTATGATCCCCGTCAACGACGACAACGACCTCTGAATGAGTATCCAAAAAGCGATGGGACTCCGGAAGATGAAGATGTTATCTTTTTTAACTTCAAACATGTGTTATTAACTTTGAATTCACAGATTTTGATTGTAGGATTTTAAAAATTTTTCAATGGATATAGGTGGTGAAATTGAATTCTGATATGACAGTGTAGTCAAACTGTGATAGATCATAACGCCATTTCGGGATCATAGTGAAGTTGTGTTATGAACTTAAAATTTTGTGGACAAAATGCAGTAGTGATGTTGTGTAATACACAGATAACGTTAATATTTCCGTTGTTCAGTTAATTTTTCGTATATTTGTGTATCTCTGAAATGTAAGTTTCAGTTTGTTTGCATTACGATAGATGACGAAAATCAAACGGATTATTCGTATGCGGGGAAAATTGACTCACCAACAACCGCTTTCAGGCTAGTATCTACATATTCGGATTCAGATGCACAATTGAATTTTAAGATTCGGTGGCCGCTGAATTTTTTTTTTTTTTTGATGTGAAGGTGTGATGTGTGCGTGATTATTTCGATTAACTATGTCTCTTGTTTGCATAATGTGCGTACGAGCGTTTCCGAACTCGTTGTTGCCTTCAGGTAATTGATGTGGTTATTCAAAATGTTCTATATTCGTTCGATTGGTATCTGATTTCAGGATGGCACTTGGTAACTTAGCTGAGCAACCGCGGATTTGCGATAAGTTCACATTACCAAAAGAAATTCCTGAATGGTCGATTTGGAGTCCGAACTTCAGAAATGGTGCCGAACGATTGAAAGCTAGGAAAGAAGCCGAAGAAGCAAAGAAGCAAATGTGTGGAGCATTCGTGGTATGTTTTGAAAATAGCATGCAGTGTGTTTCATTTGGAAAGCGAAACGAACAAAGTTGTTTTCGAAAATTCGTTTGATAGGACGTGATTCAATTTATTGAATTGTCTTTTTTGATGAGAATTCTTGAATGATCATAACAAGAATTCAAACATAAATCCTCACAGATAGTGTACATTTAGAACAGTATTGGATCTTCGGCAATTTTGACGACAATCGAAATGACAATTTTTTCATTGGTGGAGTTTTAGGTGGAAGGCGAGTTTTGTGCGCTATATTTCAACGCAAAATTTTTAGTTGACTGGTGTTAGAAAAGTTCAACGATCATCGACAGCAATAATTTATGAGAAGAATGCGAGGGATGACGATACAACTGTGAGCGGTGAAGAAGACGAAGATGATTTCATCCAACCGATACAAACAAAATCAAATCATGCGGTAAATAAAAACATCAAGGTAAATTCTCTTGTATCTATATCGAACACCTTAATATGTAATTGAAATTCATCGTTGCTGTAAAAGTATCTTAAGTTTGCTAATCGTTCGCTTGAAGTGAGCAATTTGTCACTTGTAATATCATGCAGTAATTCTCAGTCTTCTCTCTAATGCATTCCCTTCGAAAAATGTTTGCTTACAAGCAGAAGATATTCTGCTCATAAATCCCCGTAATGTTCATGAGGATCAGAAGGTTTTCATAACCGTCCGATCTCTTTAAAACAGCGTTAGGGGGTGGTTGGAGAAAGCTGATGCTCCTGATTGAATTCCGTTAAATGACTGAAGTTACAGGATTACT